CAATGAAAACAAAAGCTTCTAGATTCTTTGATACCTGAAGAAAGATAAAAGAAACCAAGGATTTTGGAAGCACCAAGTTGATACCTCCCGGTGCCAAACCATGAACGGCATACCATATGCATGGGACAGTGTAAAACAAATGATAGTGCTTTGATATATCTAGGAAGCCATCCTCAAAACAACACCAACCTCTAGTTAGCAATTTTCCATACTATTCCATATCGGATACTTGAAAACTACGACTTGTTCATAAGTCATATTCATAAACTACACTCTTTATAGAAGAGAATTTCATTTGATTTGATATATATTTAAATGATGTCATTACCTTCTTATGTGTAATAGTCGCATGTTAATCTCCTCCCACATCTTTATTATCTCTTTAAATTGTTATACATCTTCCAGCGAACTTTTGAACTGTAGTCGAATTCTTACTGGCCCGACATTTTGTAGTCTTGTATGTTGTATTACTAACCAGACCCTTGAAGCACCTAATTGATTCACCTTTGCTATCCCAATTATGATTTTGTTCTCACCATGTCAATAAATAGGTTTGTGGACACAGGATCACCTTGTCTGATAATAAGAGTAATATATTTTATTCAATCTAATACCTTTTGCAAAGAATCGTAAGCAACTGTGTAATATGAACACACACTCAGTTCCCATTGTGAAGCTATAACCACTATGTTGCGGCAAAACTTGTCTCTTCATTCCAAATTTCTGGATGTCTGACGTATCATTGATGACTGGATTTAAGCTGCAAATCTTCCTATGCAGGGATCCTTCAACAGCACTGGACTAGTGGTCTCATCTAAGTTGCCAAAATTCTCTGACATGTACACGTTGTCAATATCCAGCTCAGATACCAAATCTATTTCTGCTGGAAAACCTGTGCAGTTAACCAAAAGTGTCACACAATGGTACATATGGTTATGTGTGTCTAGTGCATATCCAGTTTTTCAATGCGTTTGATTTCAAAAGAATAAACTTTTATTTTTCAGGTTCACCAAGGATGGGATTCTGGCAGAAGGTCTGTTCTGGAAAGATGTTAATGGACTGGTCAACAAATATACCGGAGAATCTAATAAGAACAAGTGAGTTCAAGCATGTTTCCTTCTCCAATATGGCTCGGTAGATAGCTTCAACAAAGAATTAGAGTCACATTAATTCAGCAGATATGTTATTACTGCAATCTTTAATCTCCGTGGTTTTAAAATGTTATTAATGAGCTGTTACTAATTTGACAAATAGGTTATTGCAGCGTATATGAATCAATTGTCCCTGACATAAATAAGGAAAATGTTGAGTAGAAATTTGAAGTGTCAAGGATCTCAACAAAGTTCGAGAAATCCTCCATTTTACAATTTGAATCATATGATTTAGATTATATCTTAACCATAATGATTTAAACCATTACATAAAAATTCCTTAAGATATATTTGAATTTTCCAATTTGTTTATCTATTA